TGCGCTTTGATTGTCACAACCCAGCTCGTACTTGTCTTGATCATGGCTGAGTTCCATGAGGAACTTCTTCATCCACAACATCTCTTTGCTTGCCTCAGTAGCAGCAATGTACTCAGCCTCAGTTGTCGATAGTGCAACACATTTCTGAAGTATTGATTGCCAAAAGACATCTCCTCCGGCAAATCTCATCATGTATCCCGTCGTCGATTTCCTCGAGTCGGAATCTCCCCCTAAATCAGAATCTGAGTAGCCTTGTAACTCGGCTTTGCCTTCTCCAAATCGGAGACATAAGTCGGTCGTAGCTCGGAGGTACTTGAATATCCACTTCACTGCTTCCCAGTGCTCTTTGTCAGGGTTTGACAGATATTGGCTTACCATTCCAACAGCATACGCCAAGTCGGGTCTAGTGCAAACCATTGCATACATCAAGCTTTCGACGGCTGATTGGTACAGGACCTTCATCATCTCATCTTTGTCTTTATCAAATCTCTTGCATTGCTTCTGGTTCAACTTTATATGTCCGGCAAGGGGGTGCTCACTGTTTTGGCTTTGTCCATGCTGAATCTCTTCAAAATCTTCTCAATATACTTCTCTTGACTCAGCCACAGTAGCTTCTTTTGTCTGTCTCGGATAATCTTGATTCCGAGAATCTGCTTTGCAGGGCCGAGGTCCTTCATTGCGAAGGACGACCTTAATGCCTTTTTCAGGGCGGCTATCCTCGATTTGTCATTCCCTACAATAAGCATGTCATCAACATATAACATCAAAATCAAAAAATCTCCGGCCTCATACCTCTTCACAAATACGCAGTGGTCGGCTTCTGTCTTCTCAAACTTGTGATCAGTCATGAATGATTCAAATTTCTTGTACCACTGCCGAGGTGCTTGCTTCAAGCCATAGAGGCTCTTCTTCAACCGACATACCAAGTCTTCTTGGTCTGGTGCTCGGAACCCTTCAGGTTGCTCCATATTTATCTCTTCTTCTAAATCACCGTGAAGAAATTTCGTCTTCACGTCCATTTGTTCTACCTCAAGGTCCATCGAAGCTGTAAAATCCCAAGTGCTGACAATTGTATGGTTAGTGGAAGAGCTAATGTACAATTGAATGTATGGTTAGTGGAAGAGCTAGCATACTATCAGCGGGAGGGGTACATGAATGAATCGAATAACACCGGAAAGAGAGGGATTTCAGAGATTGTGCTGGTATAGGACAACACAGCTGAGGATAACTTATAAGAATTAATTTGTACTACCTATACTAATAAGATGCATCTACTTTTAGATAGCCCGGATCGGAAGAACTCCACAGTTAAGCGTGCTTGACTTGGAGCAATTCAGGGATGGGTGACCTCCTGGGAAGTTTTCCCGGGAAGTGTGCGAGTGAGGACAAAGCACGCTGAAAAGTCTTGTGTTAGTGTGTGGGGATAGTCGTTGATGCTTGCAAGTGGCCGGGCGTTACAAGTGGTATCAGAGCAGGGCCTCTCATCCAGTACGGTGTGGTTCGCGGACGAACCAGGCGGAAGTTGGTGGGCATGTAACATCCCGAGTGCGGACAATTGTATGGTTAGTGGAAGAGCTAATGTACAATTGAATGTATGGTTAGTGGAAGAGCTAGCGTACTATCAGCGGGAGAGGTACACGAATGAATCGAATAACACCGGAAAGAGAGGGATTCCAGAGATTGTGCTGGTATAGGACAGCACAGCTGAGGATAACTTATAAGAATTAATTTGTACTACCTATACTAACAAGATGCATCTACTTTTAGATAGCCCGGATCAGAAGAACTCCACAGTTAAGCGTGCTTGACTTGGAGCAATTCAGGGATGGGTGACCTCATGGGAAGTTTTTCCGTGCGAGTGAGGACAAAGCACGCTAAAAAGTCTGGTGTTAGTGTGTGGGGATAGTCATTGATGCTTGCAAGTAGCCGGGCGTTACAGAAGCTGCCATAGCTAACACAGTTCGGACCGAGGTCATTTTCATTACAAGAGAAAAAATCTCCTCAAAGTCTACTCATTTCTTCTGATTACAGCCTTTCACTACAATCCGGGCTTTGTATCTCGGTTTCTGCCCGTTTTCTTCATTCTTAATCTTGTAAACCCATTTATTTTACAAAGCTCGTCTTCCTTTTGGCAACTCGGTCAGCACATAAGTCTGATTCTCGTACAGAGACTTCATCTCGTCTTGCATTGCTTTTTCCCATTCTTCTTTCTCTGAGCTCATCACAGCCTCATCATAACTCTCAGGCTCACCGTCTTCAGCAACAACGGTGTATTCATCAGATGGGTACCTTGTAGAGGGTCTTCTTTCTCGAGTTGGATATCTCGGTTGTTCTTGAGCTTGAGAATCCGGTTCATCATTCTCATCCTGGATCTCATCATCAAATCGGACCTCAGTGTCTTGGTCATCATCAACATGTTGTTGGTCATCATTTTCTTCATTTTCTTGATTTTCTCCCCCTGCATCAGCTCGGACAGGAGGGATGAGTTCTTCACGTCTGACAGTAACCCGGACTTTGGGCTTCGAGATGTCATGAATGTTCTCATCTTCATGAAAGATCACATCTCGGCTTCTCACTATCTTCTTATTGATTGGATCCCAAAGTCGCAACCCGAACTCACATCTCGGCGAACCAAGATAAATGCATTCTTTAGTCTTTGCATTAAGTTTTGCCCTTTCATCTTCAGGGATATGCACGAAAGCTCGGCATCCAAACACCTTCAATTGATTATAGGTCCCTTTCCGACCTGTCCAGACTTCTTTTGGAATTTCTCCTTCAAGTGGCCGTGATGGTGAGAGGTTGATTAAATCAACAGCAGTTCTGACGGCTTCTCCCCAGAATGATTTCGGTAACCCGGCATTGGATAACATGCTTCAGATCTTCTCTTCAATTGTTCGGTTCATCCTTTCAGCCAGTCCATTTAACTGTGGAGTCTTGGGGGGCGTCTTCTCAAGTCGGATCCCGGCCGCTCTGCAATATGCATCAAAAGGGCCACAATATTCACCACCATTATCAGATCGGACTACCTTCAATTTCTCGCTAGTTTCCCTTTCAACCATAACATGTAATTCTTTAAAGGATTGGAGTACCTGGTCTTTAGACTTCAACAAATATACCCACACTTTGCGGGAATGGTCATCAATAAATGAAACAAAGTACTGAGCTCCTCCAAGGGATCTTTCCGACATGGAGCAGACATCAGTATGGACGAGGTCAAGAATATACCTGCGTCGTCTTGGTTGATCCGGTCTCACAAAAGAAACCCGGTGCTGCTTTCCAACTAGGCAGTGCGTGCAACTCTCCAACGCTTGACCTTTCAACCCGGTCAGTAATCCTTTTTTGTTCAGGATCTGGAGCCTTTTCTCGCTCATGTGGCCGAGGCGCTTGTGCCATAGCTCCAAGCTAGGTTCATTGATATGCGCCTAGCATATAAGGAAATCTGAGCCAAAAACAGAAAGAATATTGATGAAATCTTGGAAAAAAAGCAAGAATCACTGTTAATTTGTCAAAATCTTAATCAAGGATTGAATACTGATTTTATGCTAATTTTGTAGGAAAAAGCAAACAAACTGGAGCAAAACGAGGATTTTTCAAAATCAAAATCCACGCTCAAAGCGTGGATCTCACGCTGGAAGCGTGGAAGGAATTTTTCAGACAGAAGCGTTCACGCTTGAAGCGTGAATTTGATGCTGAGAGCGTCAGTTTGCGAATTCTCAGATCCCGTGTTTTACAACGGGGCAATTTTGGAAAAGAAAAAGATTTAAAAATTATGTTTTTGATTCAGCAATGAGATCTCTATCCAAATTAGAGATAAGATTAGATGATTTGTGATAAGATTGAATCAAGATACAATAAAGATTTGAATTTCTAATTTATCAATCAAATCTCCAAGGTTGTTACATGAAAAAAGGAAACAAAGTTTAAATCAAATACAAACTCTTGGATGGGCTCAATGCCGGTGGTTATAAATAAGGAGCTTGGGAGCACAACAAAGAAACCAATTCACAACTCGGAGCAAGCAGTAGAGGACTGAAGATCAAGAATTCTTCTCCATTCTTTCTAGTAATTATAGTTTTTATGCTTTCTTTTGAATATTTGTTTATGTCAGATATGACTATGTCTGGCTAAGTTCTTTTATTGTAGTTAGGGTCACAAACCCTATGTGAACCCTTGTTATGACATATTGATTTAAATTATTTTACTCGTTTATATAAATTTCTTTATCTTACCTTGTGCGTATCTGTTATTTTCTTTATTAAACCTGATCAATTTGATAGTTGAAAATAGTTTGAGGGTTAGAACCTTAAATAGGGATATTGGGGTTTCTGATCTTGAAAGGAGATAAGATAACTATTGGTATGCATACTAGGGATAGATGTATATTTAATTGCAGATGTTGGAATTATTGTGTTCATTGCTTAATTTTCATGAGGGGTTACTAAGGGATTAGGATTCTAAGTGAGGTTAAAGGGTTAAGTTACCAAGGGATTGGGATTTAACTATTAATATATTGAGATCATAATTATCTGAGAAATTATATAAATAAGTATTTTGTATCAATCCAAAGTAATAAGTGGGGATCATAGGGAGAGTGTTCCCTAACTGCAATTCTTTCTCATATTTTCAAAACCAACTCCATTATTATTCTTCTTTTCATTCTTAAAAATACAAAAACTCAAAAATAAGCCTTTACTTTTATGGTTACTAAGATTCAATTTAATTTTCCCAACAAGAGATTAAGTTTTTCAACTTAAAGTGACTGATTATTTTAGTACTTGGTTTTCAATCCCTGAGGAGACGATCTTTCTTACTACTTTACTACTTATGCGAAACGGTATACTTGCCGGATAGCATCAAGTTTTTGGCGCCGTTGCCGGGGATTGAAAATTTCAATATTACAAATAACCTTTGATCTTTGAGATTGAATTTTATTTTTATTTTTATTTTTATTATTCTTGTTTGCATTTTACAGGTGCTATTAACAAATTTTTCTGAGTTTTATGCGAGGTAGACTTCCATCTAAAGACTTTTTGCTTGATCCTGAAATTTCAAGGACTGAGAGGAGACTGAGGAAGGCGGCTAGGCAGATAATTTGGGAAGATTTGAAAAGCGTACCTGCACAACCAAAACAAGAGATGGAAGGAAACAACAACGCTGATGGTGACATAGGCCACAATGCAATTAATCCACCCCTAAGATTGTTGGAAAGTATTCTAACACCAGTGTTCAATAGGCCAAACTCAAGCATAGTCAGGCCGACGGTGGAGGCAAACAATTTTGAGTTGAAACCATCATTGATTTCTTTGGTGGCAAGAGCTCAATATTCTGGTGCTGACGAGGAAGACCCTCATGAGTTCATAGATCGATTTCTGATGATCTGTGACACTACAAAGCACAATGGTGTGCCAGCTGATGCTATCAGGCTCCGACTATTTCCTTTTGCTGTTAAGGGAAGTGCTCTCAAATGGATAGAAAGGCAGCCAGCAAATAGTATCTCAACATGGGAAGATTTGTCAAACAAATTCTTTGCCCATTTCTTTTCTATGGAGAAATATAATCAGCTGGTGAATGCAATCACGAATTTTCGTCAATTTGAAGGAGAATCATTGTGTGCAACTTGGAATAGATTCCAAGAACTTATCCGGAAGTGTCCACAATGGGAAGGAGACAATGACAGAAAGGTGGCAATTTTCTTTAATGGCATTTCTCCTGAAACAAGGTTGGTGATTAATGGTGCAGCTGGAGGTTCTATTCGGCAAAGTACCTCAGAGCAAGCTCTCAATCTGATAAAGAAGTTGGCAAGAGATGAAAATGAGAGTGTTCCAGCCTCAGTAAAAAGAGGAGTGATAAAGCAAGAAAACAATGACACTTTGCTCGCTGAACTGTTATCCAAAAAGATTGATAGCAAGTTTGACAGTTTGGAGCAGCAATTTCAAAAATTCCAAGTGTCTCATGTTCAATCAACTCCTCAGGAAGCTCACAAATCCAACGAATGCTCTAATTCGTTATCAGATGATTCACCACAACAAGTACAAGTGAATGGAATATGGTATGACCAACGGCCTCAGCCGTCAAACTTTCCAAGGAACAATAACTATGGTGCTGGAGGTGGTGGTGGAAATTTTCAGCGAAGAACTCAAGGAGCTGGCATGGATTACAAATCTAATAACTACCAGCAGCCTCCACAAATTCAAGCAAAGGAACCCTCTGAATTGGAAAAGCTAGTGGCACAGATGGCTCAACATTCAAATACTTTCATGGAGGAGCAAAGAGCCAACAACAAAAATACAAGTGCTTCCATAAAGAACCTGGAGAATCAGATAGGCCAACTTGCAAAGCAGGTTTCAGAAAGAATTCCGGGTACTTTTCCTAGTAATACAGTTATCAATCCAAAGGAAGATTGCATGGCTATTACCACTAGAAGTGGCAAAGTTGTAGCACCGCTTGCAAATCCAATTCTTGATCGTGTGGAAGACAAGGAACAAGCGGAGAAGCAGAAAGGAGCAGTTGAACCAGAGGCTGAAGTAATTGTGAAAGAAAAGGAGAAAGAAGCCGTCATTGAAAAGGAAAAACCATCTTTCTTTGATAAGAATTGCCCATTGACCCATGAATATATAATGGCTCAAGCACCTTACCCAGAAAGGTTCAAGAAAGAGGTTACTAACAAGCATTATGACAGGTTCTTAGACATCTTCAAGAAGTTGCACATCAATATTCCTTTTGCAAAAGCCTTAGCAAATATGCCTGGATATGCAAAATTCATGAAGGATTTGTTGAAGAAGAATAAACTGCAAGAATGCCAAACCGTTGAACTTACTGCAAAAAGTAGTGCATTCATTCAGCAGAAGATTCCAGCTAAGCTTCGTGATCCAGGTAGTTTTAATATTCCCATTACTATTGATGATATTGCCATTGGCAGAGCTATTTGTGATCTTGGGGCTAGTATCAACTTGATGCCTCTTTCTATTTATAAGTCACTGGGAATTGAAGAATTGAAACCCACAGAAGTTTCTCTTCAACTTGCTGATAGATCTGTGAGGAAACCTAACGGGATCATTCTTTCTTGTTGATTTTGTGGTGTTGGATACAGGGGAAGGATGTGATAAGCCTCTGCTTTTAGGTAGGCCCTTTTTGGCTACAGCCCGTGCTCTAATTGATGTTGAGCAGGAATGATTAAATTAAGGATGTATGATGAGGAACTCAATTACAATGTTTTTGAGGCAATGAAAAGACCAGCTGAGAATGATGATTGTTTTCAAGTTGAAGTGTTTCAAGAGCAACATAAGAAGATGCGTCCACAAGAGATTGATTATGAGTTGAGAGCCCGTGATCATGTTCCCTTTGAAGGCAAAGAAGTTGCTGTGGAAGAGCTTAAAGAAAAAGCTGATGATATAGAAGATAAGCCACCCAAGGTTGAGTTGAAAACTCTGCCTGATACTTTGAAATATGTATTTTTGGGGAATGAAGAGACCTATCCTGTAATTGTCAATACGACACTATCTCCTGGTCAAGAAGAGGAGCTTGTTGAAGTTCTAAAAGCTCATAAGACTGCCATAGGGTGGTCTATTTCTGATTTAAAGGGTATTAATCCCTCTATTTGCACACACAAAATTCTTATGGCAGAAAACATCAAACCTGTGAGACAACCGCAAAGAAGGCTTAACCCGATCATGAAGGAGGTAGTAAGAAAAGAAGTTGTGAAGCTTCTTGATGCAGGTATGATTTACCCAATTTCTGATGCTGCTTGGGTAAGTCCGGTTCAGACTGTTCCAAAGAAGGGTGGTGTGACTGTTGTCAAAAATGCAAACAATGAGTCATTCCCAACTAGAACTATCACAGGTTGGAGAATGTGTGTTGATTACAGAAGGTTGAACACGGCTACCAGGAAAGATCATTTTCCACTACCCTTTGTTGATCAGATGCTGGAAAGACTGGCAGGACATGCTTATTACTGTTTTTTAGATGGTTATTCAGGCTACAATCAAATTCCAGTAGCTCCTGAAGACCAGGAGAAGACAGCCTTCACTTGCCCATTTGGAGTCTTCGCTTACCGACGAATGCCATTCGGCCTCTGTAATGCACCTGCCACCTTCCAAAGGTGTATGCTCTCTATATTTTCTGACATGGTAGAGCGATTTTTAGAGGTATTTATGGATGACTTCTCCGTCTTTGGTTCTTGTTTTGATTCTTGTTTAATTAACTTGTCTAAAGTTTTGAAAAGATGCCAAGAGACTAACCTTGTTCTGAATTGGGAAAAATGCCATTTTATGGCTAATGAAGGTATTGTTTTGGGGTATAAAATCTCTAGGAATGGAATTGAGGTTGATAAAGCTAAATTGATTTTGATTGAGCAACTCCCCACTCCCATTAATGTTCATGCTGTTAGGAGTTTTCTAGGACATGCAGGTTTTTACAGGAGATTCATCAAGGACTTCTCCAAGGTTGCTAAACCATTGAGCCAGCTCTTGGTGAAGGACTCAAAATTCAAATTTGATGATGCATGCCTGAAGTCTTTCACCATATTGAAAGAAAAGCTTACTACAGCTCCTGTGCTAACAGCCCATTTACTGGAGCCTTCCTTTTGAGCTCATGTGTGACGCCAGTGCTTATGAAATTGGTGTCGTCCTCGGTCAGCGTAAGGAAAAATTATTACATGTCATTTACTATGCTAGCAAAGTCTTGAATGAAGCTCAAGTTAATTATGCCACAACTGAGAAATAGATGTTAGCAGTAGTTTATGCACTGGATAAATTTAGACCTTACTTGTTAGGATCCAAAATCATTGTTTTTACTGATCATTCTGCTATTAAGTATCTGATAGCTAAGCAGGATGCTAAACCACGATTGCTGAGGTGGATGTTACTCTTTCAAGAGTTTGATTTGGAGATCCGAGACAAGATTGGGGTGGAGAACAAAGTGGCAGATCATCTGTCAAGAATCCAGGAGAAAGAGCTTCAAGATAGTCCTGACAAAGAAATCAACGACTATTTTCCTGATGAAAAAGTGATGTCTATTCACGTCCCTCCATGGTTCGCAGACTTTGCCAATTACAAAGTTGTGAAGGAGTTACCTGCTAATCTTACTGGGCAACAACAAAAGAAAATTTCTGCGGGATTTAAAGAGGTACTTCTGGGATGATCCATATCTATACTTTCAATGTGCTGACGGAATCATTCGTAGCTGTGTTCCTGAGTTTGAGACGACCCAGATCTTGTGGCACTGCCACTCTTCTGAATATGGAGGTCATTTTGGAGGCAATAGGACTGCTCAGAAAGTCCTGCAAAGCGGTTACTACTGGCCAACACTGATCAAAGACGCCAGAGAATTTGTTGAAAAATGTGACAAGTGTCAGCGAGCAGGCAACATATCTCGCAAGGATAAGATGCCTCTGAATAGTATATTGGAGGTAGAGTTGTTTGACGTGTGGGGAATTGATTTCATGGGCCCATTTCCATCGTCTTATTCCAACCTGTACATACTGGTGGCTGTTGACTATGTATCCAAGTGGGTTGAGGCAATTGCCCTTCCTACTAATGATGCTATATCAGTGGTCAATTTCTTGAGGAAGAACATTTTCACAAGGTTTGGAGTACCCCGAGCCATTATCAGTGACGGAGGTACTCACTTCTGTAACAGGCACTTTGAGAGCTTACTTGCTAAATATGGAGTCAAACACAGAGTTACTACACCATACCATCCACAAACCAGTGGACAAGTTGAAGTTTCAAACAGAGAAATAAAGAGAATCTTAGAGAAGACAGTGGGAAACTCTCGGAAGGATTTGGCTAAGAAGCTTGACGATGCACTGTGGGCGTACAGAACTGCATTCAAAACCCCCATAGGCATGTCACCGTATCAATTGGTGTATGGCAAAGCTTGTCATTTGCCTGTGGAGTTGGAATACAAGGCCTTATGGGCCACAAAGTTTTTGAATTTTGAACCATCAGGAGCTCGGGAGAAAAGATTACTTCAGTTAAATGAGCTAGATGAGTTCAGAAGAACTGCATATGAAAGTGCAAGGATTTACAAGGAGAAGACTAAGCTGTGGCATGATAGCAAAATCAAGAACAAAGAGTTTGAACCAGGACAATAGGTATTATTGTACAACTCTCGACTGAGGTTATTTCCAGGTAAACTTAAATCTCGTTGGTCTGGTCCTTTTATTGTGAAGACAGTCTTCCCATATGGGACAGTAGAAATCTCCCCTCTCAAAGAGGACAGACCTTTCAAGGTCAATGGAAATAGATTGAAAATCTATTATGGAGAACAAACACCTAGAGACACAATTTCTGTCTCTTTAGTTGCACCTGAACCTTAAACAG